AAGAAGTGGAGGCCTTACCCTCAATGCCAAAAATCCCTACCTCTTTAGAGGAACCCCCCGAGTTGGAATTGAAGTTTCTGCCTTCTCACCTCGAATACGCCTTTTGAGGGATGATGGAACGCTTTCAGCCATCATCAACGACAATCTTACATCGTAGCAAAAGGTGGAATTAATTGGGGTCCTAAGGCGTCACAAGAGGTTGATAGCATGGAAGACCAAAGACTGGAACTAATCTTGTTTAATTCTCTCGGATTTCGCTGCAGACTAGGATTTATGACAACAAGGCTAACTCGTTGGGTCTAGTCTACATTACTATTGGGACTGGCGGGTGCCATATTGGAGTTTACTCACAGTAAGCAGTGCTATTATTCTCAGTAACTACTTTCAGAGAAACTAATTGTACATTAAGAAATTTCAACGGTCTGATTGGTGGACGTGAAAATGAATGAAGGTTTATGAAGCCAAATCCAGAGTTATCGTTGTGTCGAGATGCAAGGTTTGGACATGGGCGGCTGAGGATAATGGATGAGAAACGAGCTCATTGGTCATGGCATCCCAATGACTCGGATGTCGCTGTTATGCCTGGACCTGAGCTCGACGGATTTTGATAACGGATTTCAGAAGAAGAGATAGAATAGGAGAGAGAAGGGAAAGTAAGAGAGAGAGAGAAGATTGGGAGGGAAATTGTGGTGTGATCGTTCAATGCCGTTGAATAGCCACTGAGAAGGCTATTTATAGTCAGTGCACAATTACAATTCACTACCTATCTTCTTTATCAACTACAATATGATACAAGGTGTTACAACTCCCATCTTCTTCGCCAAAGACTTGTCCTCAAGTTTGGAATTCTGGAAATCTTGTTTTAATGTCCTCCAAATACTCCTAGGTAGCATCTTCCTCTCACTAGTGTGACCATTGTACCAGGATATGAGTAGCAGCTCGATTATCCTTGGCTACAACCCTTCTGGCCTGAATGCTAACGGGTTCTATCTTGAAACTACCATCTTCATCCATCTCAGGTAACCTTGGCTGCACCATATCCTGACTACCAATTGCTTTCTTTAACAAAGAAACATGGAACACAGGATGGATAGCCGTACCTTCAGGAAACTGCAATTTGTACGCCACTGCTCCGTCCTCTGAATCACCTGAAAAGGACCATAAAACCTCGCAGCAAGCTTCTGGTTTGCCCGTCCAGCCATTAAAGTCTGCCTGTAAGGCCTGAGCTTCATATACACCCTGTCACCCACCAGCAATTCTCTCTCAGTTCGACGTATGTCAGCCGTCTGCTTTTGCCGGTTCCGGGCTTGAGCCAAATGCGTCCTGAGAATTCCCACTATCTTCTGCTGTTGATGAAGCTAGTAAGCCATAGCAGCTACTGCGTAGAGAGTGGGTTCTGCAAGGTAAACTAAGAAGGGGAATACCCGTAAAGAGCTTCAAAAGGAGTCAACTTAAGGCTGGTGTGGTAGTTAGTATTGTACCACCACTCGGCCATTGGCAAGTATTCCTCCAAGCAACGATTAACTCTCTCAGTCTGACCATTAGTCTGTGGATGGTATGCTGTGGAGTAATGCAATTTGACCACCTGCAACTCAAACAACGTAGATCAGAACACACTTAAAAACACGGCATCCCTGTCACTTACAATCGACTTAGGCAACCCATGTAGTTTGTAAACTCTATCAAAGAACACCTTCGCCACAGACATAGCTGTATAGGGATGACTCAAGGGAAAAAAATGGTTGTACTTGGTGAACCTTTCAACCACTACTAGGATCAACTCTTTTCCACCAGACTTAGGCAGCCCTTCAATAAAATCCATCGACAACTGCTGCCAGCCCCCCTCAGGAACAGGTAGAGCCTACAATAGCCCAGGATAGGGAATGTTCTCTACTTTACACTTCTGGCAGGTATCACACTATCCCACAAAATCCCTCAGCTGGCTCTTCCGCCCTGGCCCCCAACAGTACCTCTTGATGCGCTGGTAAGATTGGCCACCAAAAGTACCTCTTGATGCGCTGGTAAGATGCCTGTACCCCTGAATGTCCCCCCACAGGAGAATCATGGAACAAATGAAGCAATTGGGTTCTCATCTGACCACCCAGACCCGCATACAAAGACCCCTTATGATAGAGCATCCCATTCTTCACTTCATTCGCCCTTGGACCAAACATGGGAATCAAAGCACTCACCATCATGTCCTGGACAGCAGGATCACCCTCATAAGTTGTCTCCAAATCAGTAATCCGGGTAGGGAGGACAGTGGAGATAGCTTGACATTGTCCTGTATCATTGAAGTTAGGGTTTCTGGAAAGGGCATAAGCTAACTTGTTAAACTTGCCTTGTTTATACTTGATTTCAAAGTCCAACCCAAGCAACTCGACTAGACCTTTTTTTTTGAATCTGGGTGTGCACCTTCTGCCCAAGCAAATGCTTGAAACTCTCGTGGTCTGTTAAAATGAAAAACTTCCTCCCTTCGAAGTAATGCCTCCACTTGGTCACTTCCAATATCTCAGCCAAGTACTCCTTCTCGTAAGTCGACAGTCCCTGTTTGCGAAGGCCCAAAGCCTGGCTATGGTATGCGATAGGCCTGCCTTCCCGAGACAACACAGCACCAATTCCCACTCCACTTGCATCAGTTTCCAAAGTGGATGGTTTGGTAAAGTCAGGGAGTAACAACACATGAGCCTGAACCATGGCCTTCTTCAACAACTCAAAAGCCTGTTGAGCTGCAGTTGACCAATGGAACCCTTCTTTTTTGAGTAAATCAGTAAGGGGTTTGGCCAGACTACCATAATTCTTCAAAAATTTCCTATAGTAACCTATCAACCCAAGGAAACCCCTTAACTCCTTTATTGTTTTAGGCACAGGCCAGTTACCATAGCCTTTATCTTGTTGGGATCAGTATCTACCCCTTCCTGTTTGATCACATGACCCAGATAACCAACTTGAGTTTGTCCAAAATCACATTTAGATGGTTTGTCATATAGTTTGTTTGATCTAAGGATGAATTTCCTTAGGTGAGGTGCGAAAATATGGTTCATAAGGGATTGAAAAGTGGCTGGGCATTTGTAAAGACAAAAGGCATGACAGTAAACTCAAAATGGTCATGGTGAGTACAAAGGGCTGTTTTATATTGGTATGAGGGATGCATTCTAATCTGATGGTATCTAGAGAGTAGGTCAAGTTTGGTAAAGTATTTAGAGTGTTTAAGTTCATCTAGGAGGTCATCTATCATTGGGATGGGAAACTTATCTTTTACAGTTAAAGCATTAAGCTGCCTATAGTCCACACAAAATCTCCAAGTTTCGTCTTTCTTGAGGACTAACAAAACAGGTGAAGCAAAAGGGCTTTGCTGGTCTGAACATACTGAGAAGCCATCATCTTCTTAACCAATCGTTTCATTTCATCCTTCTATTGTTGTGTGTATCTATAGGGTCTAAGGTTCACGGGTTGGGAATTGGGTAGTAGAGGGATCTGGTGGTCACAAGGTCTAGAAGGAGGTAATGTATTGGGTTTGCCAAACACATCTATATATTATGCAATTACTTCCTTGAGAAAATTGAGAATATTACCTTCCTGAAAAGCACCATAATACTAAACAACTGACCAACCCAGGTAGGTGATTTCTTCCGAAGGAGTTTCTGTAACCCCTTTCCACTCATCATTTCGCAGCTTCCACTATCCTGAACACCCGTCAAAACCACTTCCTTCCCCTGCACTTCAAAGAACAGCTGTAGATTTTGGAAATTGAACTTCACAAGGCTCACTGTACGGAGCCAATCCAATCCCAAGACCATGTCATGAGATCCAAGCTTGATGATACGAACATCATGAACAAACTGATGTCCTGCCATGTCCGAATTGAACCCTTGACAACTCAAAGTACTCATTAGGATCATACCATCCGCCAACTTAACTCGCCAGGGAGTCGCTGGTACCAAGACACACCCAAGTTCTGCTTCCTTTGACTCATGCAAGAAGGTATGAGTACTGCCCGTGTCCACCAAAATGTGGAATTTATGCTTTCGAACTCGCCCTGAAACTACCAGTGAATTAGCCAATCCATCACTACTTAAAGCCTGCATGGTCACTTTAACAGGGCCTTCTGGAACCCCCTTCTTCTTCCACCAACGCACTTGCTTCACTATCCTCATCAGAATTTCTCCAGTCAATGGGAGGTAAAACACCTATGTCTTCAGCCTGAATCACAGGTATGCCCGTAGAAGTACTTCTCACCGCATTTGTAACAAGCCCCCTTGGAATAGTTAGGCTTAGGAGCTGCACTGGAATTGGATATCTTGTAAGCAGCCCCTGGTTTGATGCTATCCCATTTCCTATTCCCTCGATTAATTGGAAGGACTAGAGAAAAGTGAGGTCGTCTGGTACTAGTCCTCCACTTCCTTCTCTTGGCTTCATTAGAGGATCTTTCCAACTTCGCAATCTGGAATGCATCAGAAAGAGTTTGGGGTCGCATCATCGTAACAATAGGCTTCAGTTCTTCCTCCAAACCACTGATAAAGCTTGAGATAAAGTAATCTTCAGACAATGCAGCATTGTTAAACTCACCAACAATTCCCCTTGCGTCCAGTCACTAAACCTAGCACACAAGGAAGCCACAAAATCATTCCACACGAGTTCACACCTAGTCGTCAACCAACCTTCATATCAAATGTCCGCCCTTCGACCAAAATAAATTGCGGCCATTTCGACACGCTGGTCAACAGGTATCTCATAGATCGCAAACAGTTTTTCACATTTTCTAGTCCAATCCCTAGGGTTCTCGCCGTTAAAAGATGGAAAATCCAAGCGAGGAGCTGCACTGTAAGGAAGTGGTTAAGTACCATACTCGGGCCTATATAAGATCCAGCATAACCTTCTCCCAACAACTCGAGTTATTGGGAACAACTGGTTCTTGACATGGTATCAGAGCTGGTTGTCCGTGAGGTCACGTGTTCAAGTCCTCACGACCCCCAATATTAACCGTTGTATTTCAAGCACATGGTATGGCGGGCCTGTGCAAACTTCAAGCCCATGAGTCGGCTTTCGTTTGAGGGGGCGTGTAAGGAAGTGGTTAAGCACCATACACAGGCCTGTATAAGATCCAGCATAACCTTCTCCCAACAACTCGAGTTATTGGGACCAACTGGTTGTAAGGAAGTGGTTAAGCACCATACACGGGCCTGTATAAGATCCAGCATAACCTTCTCCCAACACCTCGAGTTATTGGGACAACCTGGTTTATGACATGGTATCAGAGCCTAGAACCGAAAGGTCATGTGTTCGAATCTCCACGACCCCCAATATTAATCGTTGTCTTTCAAGCACATGGTATGGTGGGCCTGTGCAAACTTCAAGCCCATAGGTTGGCTTTCGTTTGAGGGGGCGTGTTAGAGAGTGGTATAAGATCCACGATTGAACCTCTCCCAACAACTCGAGTTATTGGGACCAACTGGTTCTTAACATGGTATCAGAGCCTAGAACCGAAAGGTCATGTGTTCAAGTCCTCACGACCCCCAATATTAACCGTTGTCTTCAAGCACATGGTATGGCGGGCCTGTGCAAACTTCAAGCCCATAAGTCGGATTTCGTTTGAGGGGGCGTGTAAGGAAGTGGTTAAGTACCATACACGGGCCTGTATAACATCCAGCATAACCTTCTCCTAACAACTCGAGTTATTGGGAGTAACTGGTTCATAACCTGCACTTGATTGTTATGACCATGAGGATTAGGATGGAGCTGATTCACCTCCAACAGATCGACAACTTGATTTCTCACGATCTGACCTGTTAGAAACCGAACAGAAAAATAGGGTTACCGATCTGGCTGAGTCGCGGACTAGGTCGCTCTCTTTAAGACGTTCGCGGCACTGCCTTCGTTGCGCACAGCAGACTATCAGCCGGTCGCCTCCAGGATAAAACAGCCACTCTAATTTTAATTTGCTCAGCGGTTTTGTGCGAAAACCGGAGCTCTTTGAACACACTCTCTTTCTCGTGTTTCTGCTCTCTGAGGTATGTTTAGAGGGTCTGGGGAGTCTCCTATTTATAGGAGCAGAAAACCCAGAATATTCCCTCTTTCTTTGGGAATAAGTCATATTTTAATTAGGGAGATAATTACTCCCATAATTAAAATATAATATATTAAGATAATTATTCCTAATTATCTCCATAATATTCCTTTTATTAATTATCCATCTTATTTATGTATTATGGGAAAATACTGGATAATTAATTAGGAATTTCATTTATAGCTTTTCAAAGCTATTCATCCCAACATGACCTCGCAGCGGTGGCGGAAACGCCGTAACAGCAGCTATTCCCTACGGTAAGGGAAGAATGCCCCAATCGTTGCGTTGATCTCCAGCAGCCAAAGCCGCACCGGCCACAACGATCTCTGGCTATGGACGTCCCACCAGTTCCAGACGAAGGAATAACTCGTCAAATTGACGATCAAAACGGTGCTCGAGGTCGTCAAATCGCTGATCCAGTCCGTCAAATCGATGATCTAAACCTCCCAACCTAGTATTGAGAGTCGCAAACTGGGTAGAATGACCGTCGGCATTCATCGAGAGCTCCTGGAGCTGCGAGTCCTGGTGAGCTTGGCAGTTGAAAAGCACCGCCGCCTGTTCATCGGCGTTCACCATTTGCAGCACCACATCGCCACGAAGTTGCTGAATGTTGGCGTCCAATGCGTCAGTAGTACGAGCAGTAATTTGTGAGAACCCCGCTTCTAGGGATCCTCGATACTGATCTTCGGCACTCGTGATAATTAGGGATTTAGGGTTTGAGAGAAAGAATTAGGGATTTAGATGAGAAAGAATCGAATTGGGAATCGGGCGAGGCCTTGGACTAGGATGAGACGAGAAATTAGGAGTTGAGAGGATAAATTAGGGTTTAGGAGACTTTGCTTAATATTCTGCTTGATTGATCATGAGGTAAACCCAAGGTACATATTTATAGGGAAATACTGGAAACCCTAATAATAATCCTAATACGACTAAATCTCTACTAACCATAATTATAATTATCCTATTGATAAATAATAAGAGAAACCCCAATAAATTTGTTTCTCACAATCCACCCCTCTTGAAACCAACCTTGACCTCAAGGTTGAATTTGACTTTTGCCTTCTTTACCCTTCGCTTTCTTCGTTTCCAATTGCGCTCCAGCTCGCGAAGGAAGTCTTCTTCAATAACTCCGAGGTCCTTTGGCTCTTCTCCTACCAAGTGACACATGTCACGTTCTCCATAGCCGAACAATTCTTCTTTTTCTTTTTCGAAATCCACGGAATAAGAAGCGGAGAATTGTTCTTCTTGCTGCTCCATGAATCCCTCTATTGACTTGGTTCTGGAAACAGCCCATAGCTTCTCCATCTTAATTTCATTTGGGCTTGGCTCATTTGAAAACCCATATGCCCACATAAGAACTTCCTCCAAGCCTGCCTTGTTCAAAATACAACTTATGTTGGGCTCAATTTCTTCAAATCTTTGCCCAACTCTAGCCATTCTAGTCGGCGGGCCAGCTCCTCCTTGCAGATTTACTTGACCCAACAAAAGCCCATACCCGAGCTCTTGCTCGGCCCATCCGGCTTCAATCTCTTGCCCGTCTGCGCTTAAAGCCCGATCAGCAAGACAACCCAAAAGGACCAGCTGCAGTTGCTCTCCATAGCCCACACTTCTCGACCCAAAAGCTGACTCCTTGGGCCCCGCAACCCAACCCACTACTCGGCCCAGCTGCTCTGGCCGATGGGTGGTGCGACCTAGGGTTGTCTGCGAAAGAAAATTGCCGCCTTCCTTCTCCAGCGGCGAACGCTCCTTCCGCCGACACGGCGGCAGCACCAACCCGCCGGCTTCTTCCACTCCATCTCGTCTTCCGGCGGAGACTTCTTCTCCCTCGCTTCACTGTCGAACGCCGCCAGGGATGGAGCCGGCGGCCCTCGTTGCTCGTTCCCGTTGCGGAATTCACCCAAAATTCCCCCGAGCTCCGGTGGGTATAGCTCGTGTCAGTCTCCCCCGTCATCTTCTTCATCGGCCAAAGGCTTATCTGCCTCTCGCGATAGGGCCTGCCCTCAACGAATTGACCCGCTGCCCTCGTCTGCCAGCACATTCGGGCCTGCTCACTCGGCCCATGAGGGCTCCTCTGCATTGCTCTGTGCGAACTCGGCTAGCCGGCCTAGGGTTGAAGAGCGAAAGGAAGATGCCTGCCTCCTTCTCATTCGCTGCCGTCTGCAACTCCCCCGACGGCGCCGTCTTCGTCACGTTCACCTTCTCCGGCGGAAATACTCGATGACCACAAGGACAGCCCCACCCCGCCGTCGCATTTAGCTCCACCTCGTACTCCAATGACGGCTCATCCTCCATCGGCTTCCTCTTCTTCGAGACCACTGGCGACGAACACTTCACAAGGCCGCAGGGAGGCCATCCCGCTCCCGTCGCCACTTGTCCCCGCTCGTCGGTCGGCGCCGCACTGGTCACCTCTTGCGTCAACGCCCCGCGTAACGCCGACTCTTCTGCTCCGCGTCGCCTGCCGAGGGTTGCGGTTGCCATCTCCATGTCGACGGCAGGTGTAGTGACCGGCAAAGGCATGGGCGAGGCCACGGAGATGATCAACGCGGTGTCCGCCATCTCTGCTCTGCTAATTATGTGCTTCCTCTGAAATCTCCAGTTCGCCACCCGCCTTGTTGTTGATCTTTTCTCCGCATCTCTTGGTACGGATTCTTTTACAGAGGAAGCTACTCTCTTCTTGATGAGGGAAACGTCAATTGCAGCAAGGTCGCCTTCTTCTCTAGCCCCATCATTGTTTGCGACCTCGGCAATCTCTCTCCGCGCCTCCCTGATCAAGCCTGCCGCGATTTCAACCGTAGTGGTGGCTCCGATCACATCGGACGTGGCGGGCAGCGGTGTTGGCGCTTCTTTCCTCAGCCGCTCGGTGGTGATCACCTCGACAGTGGCTTCAACAAGTAGAGGAACAGCTTGCGATGATGGCGATGGTGGTGTCGCAAGAGGGGCAGCCGCCATCTCCATCGTCACGAGCTTGTTCACATCTCGTTCGAGCTTGATTGGGAACGCAGGTTGTTCCAACCAATCGTCGAAATCCAATTTTGCATCTGCGGTCTTCAATAATGGTTGTGGGTCTTTCTTCAACGGCTTCTTGAACGCTGCGGCTGCGGCTTTGGGTGGAGCAATCCGCGCAATATTCCCGGACAGCGACGAAGGTGAGGCAACCTCGTTCCTAGTCACTTCTGCCAGCTTCAACTTCAAAAGCTTTGTAAGTTCTTTGACGGAGAGCTCTTCGAGGTTGGTCAAATCCATGGTACTAGTGCCACAACCGGGCTCTGATACCAATTGTGAGAACCCCGCTTCTAGGGATCCTCGATACTGATCTTCAGCACTCGTGATAATTAGGGGTTTAGGGGTTGAGAGAAAGAATTAGGGATTTAGATGAGAAAGAATCGAATTGGGAATCGGCCGAGGCCTTGGACTAGGATGAGACGAGAAATTAGGAGTTGAGAGGATAAACTAGGGTTTAGGAGACTTTGCTTAATATTCTGCTTGATTGATCATGAGGTAAACCCAAGGTACATATTTATAGGGAAATACTGGAAACCCTAATAATAATTCTAATACGACTAAATCTCTACTAACCATAATTATAATTATTCTATTGATAAATAATAAGAGAAACCCCAATAAATGTGTTTCTCACATAATTGTAGAGAAGCGTTCATCCATCATAACAGTACGAGTCGTGGCCGCCATTGGTGTCGAGGTAAGGCTCTGATACCAATTTGTTATGCCTGGACCTGAGCTCGACAGATTTTGATAGCGGATTCCTTAAGAGATAAAACAGGAGAGAGAAGGAACAGTGAGAGAGAGTGAGAGAGAAGATCGGGAGGGAAATTATGTTGTGATCGTTCAATGCCGTTGAATAGCCACTGAGAAGGCTTTTTACAGTCGCTGAGGACGAGGTGTGGTTGACGTGTTGAAGCCCAGCTCGTGATGATTAGCGGTGATGCATTATCGATGAATCTCAGCAGTTTGATTTTGCTACTACTGTGAGCAGAATTGCGGCAGTAAGTAACAATGGGGAGCAGCTTCAGACGCAATACTAATTGCAACCGGATTACATGAGGAAGAAGTTTTAATGAAGAAACGTTTCAAGTTTATTTACTTTAGAATGTGTTATGTCTAAAATTATGTTGTTTGGTTTAGTAGTTATTAGTTGTTGGTAATTAGTATTGTCTTTTGTAATGAGCCATTGTCCTTGTAAGACTGAGAGTCTGAGACTAATATAAAACGAAGCAGAG